TTTTGACTGACAAAGGGCGCGCCTTTGGAGGGTGTTCCAACACTCCAAAGGGTATAAAGAGCGGGACCTTACAATTAAAGTCAGATCCTTGCGACAAATCCAAGAATGACAACTGTATCAAAAGCAAATGCTTCATCATTTCTCAATAGTGATGGAGTAATACCAACAATCAATACGAAACTAACGATTTTAAATTGGCTCACCACTTTAGTAGCCTATTGGTCCCAAGCAAACGGTTAACGTACCCTATTCTAGTTGAAATTCTATTACTACACTATTTTTGTTTTGATTCGCTATGAAAGTTTGACAGATAACATCAGGGGTGTGTGGATTCATGCAGAACATGCAGGGGTGAGTGAAATAGCTTGGGACTGCTTGGGACCGTTGTTCTGGTACTGAGTGAGCCAAAAATAATAATGATTTTCTTCGGGACCCAGTGGTCTTAGAGTTACCTCTATGGTAATACCATAGAGGTAACTCTAAGACTAGAAGGTCCCGAAATAACGTGCTCAACTTTTTGGCTCAGCTCTGGTACTCTCTTCGGTCCCAAGCTAATCGATTCACCCCTCGAAACATAGGAAAATCCAATAACCTCTCATTTTATCTGTCAAACTTTCATAGCGAATAAAAACAAAAATTGCGTAGTACTAAAATTTCGACTATAATGGGGTACGTTAATCGTTTGCTGGGGACCAATAGGCTAGTCAAGTAGTGAGCCAATTTAAAATCGTTAGTTTCGTATTGATTGTTTGTAATACGACATGCACTAAACTAAGGATACTGGATATACAACAATAGATCAAATAACTGGTCGCAGTGGTGTTATGTCCCGAACAGAAAAAAAGCTTTCGGCACAGTTCGACAGAAGATGATGTTAGCTTGCGCCTGAAACAACACTTTAAATTGATGAATCTACGCGAAACTGCACCAGTGCATGCGACACCTAGGTTTGAAATCCAAAACCACAAAAGTGAGGATGTACTAAAAAATATTCCATACGATTTGACAGCTAGCAAAACGTCATTATCATTTTCACATCATTTCCATCTGCTGGCCGACCGTAACGTAGATTCATCAATAGGGAATTCATTTGCAGTCGGATTATTGGCTTGCCCTTTTCTCGTGTTGCGTGAGATATGTAGAATCAGGTCCGATCAGTTCCCATAGGGTAGTAACAGCATGCACATATATCAAGCTGAACATTGCATCAGGTCCTAAGTAACATTGACGATTCTCTTCGTCGATTTTCTCTTTCGTTAATAACTTTAGCACATAACCGTTTATTGTTGTGTTTATCGTATTAGATGCTAGATGAAAGCTTCTTTTATCGATCTGTATGCTGAAAATACCTGGGAATATCTATGCATGGCCTTAAGGATACAAAGAGAATCTGTCAATGTTACTTAGGACCTAATCCAATGTTCAGCTTGATATGGGAGCAGTTTTTCTTCGCATACTTCCGACGGCGGTAGTATTTTTCGATGTTATTTTCTTTTTCCGACATTGCATTTCTCCTTGGTTGCTGCTAGACCAATTTATCCTTGCGATTTCAAACCAAAAAATTCAAGCTGTCGAAATACCAGGTTGACAAATACTCGAATTTTACAAACAATCGCAACTTGCTGCATGACCGAAACAATCGGCATACCTGCGACATACTTGCGGCACAATGTGAAAAAAAAAGTTGACCCAAGATTGGTGTGTGCAGTGACCTACCTCTTGCCCTCGATAGAACATTTTGATAGGCGAAATGAAATAAATTTATCAATTTTATCGGGGGACGGTACTAATGTATATTTTTGATCGCTATTGAAAATTTGGTCGATTGCTGAGTTTACATATGGCCCAAATTAAGGGCAATTAGGCCGACATTACATCCATTTCCCCTACTAGGCTCAAATGAAAAAGGAGAACGTAAGATTTCACATGATGGGTGTGTCTGCGATATAGATTTTTTATAATAATATTATTGTACCAGGAACAGGGACGAGCGACTGTACAACTACGACAAAGAGCAACAATGAATTTAAAAGCATCAATGTAAAACAATTGTCTTGCCAATAAAAAATCTTATAATTGCCATGAAAAACACTCGAATCTATTTTCGTGCCCTTCGACCTTTTGCAATGAATTTCATAGAGTTCTGCTCCTTTAAATAAATTCAATTTTAATGTACTACGAACATTTTTTGGCAGGAATCAGATTCAAATTCGTCTACCTCGATGATTCAAGCCAATCCTGTGCTGTGCAAATTTTCAGCAAAATCGGTGATGATTTAGAGGTGCTTCAAGCTAATTTTATGTGTTTAATGTAATTTACGGCTTATAGTATTTGTATCTCGAGACTGAAACAACGAAAACTGTTGTAACAACTTTCATAGCAAAGCTTACCCAGACAACCAGAAGTCGTATAACAATGTACAGACAGTATCGTAAATTGCTACAGTTTAAGTCAAAATCGCATATTAGAATGGCATACCTCGCATTATGTTTAAGTTAAATCGTATAGAATGCAAATTTCCGACTAATATGCGATGACTCATTTTTCCGTCGTACTGTATCACAAATTTAATCGGATTACATCGTAAGACTTTTCAAAATGGATTTGTTATTACAGATCAAATTGCATATGATGTTAAATCAACTCGTTTAAAATTAAACGAAAATATGCACGTATATGGCCTCCACTTTTGTACGTATAAGCCATTTCTTTGCATTCTATACGACTTGTTTGTTTGTATATATGTTTGTATATCACGAAAACAACTTTGAATATACGTGCATTCTGGTTGTCTGGGTAATAAGTTATCTACCAACTTTGTGACCAAAGGTTGACCATTCAAAGTGATTTTTATTGAAGTTTGACTTATTTTCATGCTCGAAGATATCTTAAAAAGTTAAACAATTTAAAGTATTTGTTCTACGAACTTTCCACCCATATGATATAAAAATGTGTAGTCTACGGCATAATGTTTCTGATACTGTTCTAGAAATTTCCTTCAAACATAGTTTTCGTGTAGATTCCGTAGATTGAGAGATAAAAATCAGAAAAGAGGCCGTTATAGCTAAAATTCCCAAGACAACAGAGACCATAAAAGTTTCAATTAGATTGACAGAACATAGTTGCATTGCTTTTCAATGACGACCGATGACTGTTTCATTGATAGATGATTTTTTTAAAATTATAAATCCTCAGTAGACATGTTTTTATCAAAGGCAAGTGTCACTCGAGCCATGCAAAATGTTCGTTATTTTTATAAATTGCTGTTATGGCTGTGAGCTGTTGTCCCACCTACTGTTGGAGTTTTCAGTGCCAGCTGACTGACTTGAATACGAAACACAACACCTTGATGAATTTTAAAATTTAAAGTTGCTAAGAAGTTCCGCTGGGAACTTGTTGGGAATTTTGTTTTTGGCCATGTGTTCAGCCTTGCCTGAAGTTCCTAAGAAGTGCTTAGGGAAGCTTTTTGGAACTTTTTTTTGATCGTCAAGTTGCTAAGAGTACGCATCGGAGCTTTTTGGAGCCTGAAGTTCATCGTGTGCTTTCTATAGCTTCTAAAGCAGCCTGAAAGTTCCGTTGGAACTTTATATGCGCTTTATGGAACTTGAAAGTGGGTTTTATCGTGGAATGCAGAACTTTTGATTGCTTGGGAAGAAAGTTGTGTCGGAACTTTATTTGAACTTTATGGAACTTGAATTTGGAACTTTTCGTTGCTTGGGTACTGTTTGTACTCCATTTTCACCATATATCTTCGTTCAATTGAGAGATAGGAAATGTTGATGTCTTGGAAAAAGTTTCTTAAAATGACTTCTTCTACAATGTTTCCATAGATTAATTTTAACAAAGCATAAAAAAATATATTTTTATATGAGTGTATACCCTCCTGAAGAAAAAGTTTTCACTACTCAAATAAAGTACTCAACAAATGAAGAAATATTTTAGAAGACAACAAAATAATATACTCAATAGTTTCGTCGCAAATAGCCATGTCCCACTCTTTTTTATTTCGTCCCACTGTGCGCCATCCCATAGCACAAATCAACAAGGTGATAAAAACGAGTTTTAAGTTATCTTCGTACCATTGCTTCTTATGCAATGGGACAACCCGTTTGGATGTATGTCCAAACTTTTCCACAACAAAGTTGTTGAGTTTATCCAGTATTATGAAACTATCGGTGATTAACTACCATTTCCATTGAAAAACTCAGTTTTGACAAAAAACGCAATTGGGACCGACTTACGATGAGCGGCATTGTAGAACTTCACTGAAGTGTAGAATTTCGCTTAAGTTCAAAGAACGTACCAAAGAAATGCAGAACACTCCCAATGTTTGAAGCAGTTTCCTAAAATTCTCAGAGCCTCTTCGCAGAACTTGACTTGACTTGGAGTTTGCAGACCTTCATTAAAGTTCGTAGAGTGTTCTTAGATCTTAGAATTTTCTGTATCTGAAGCCATTTTCGAGATATTTTGAAAATAAATTCGTTATTTCCTGCGTACAAGCCTTTTCATATGTTTGTCGTGTTATACCACCGGTGGCTTATGTTTTTGAATAAGTGCATTAAATGGTCAACGAGTTGTCCTTTTTCACCTTGAAAATTCAACCAACCGGTTTGAAGTTACAGGCGAAACATCAGAAAACATTATAAGTGATTAAAATTCATACTTTACATTTGAAAACATAGACTTTCAAAAATCCATTAAAAGTTAATTAACACCATCTCATAATTATTTTAAAAAAAATCACTAAATGACTTCTTTTAATGCTATAATTATTATTTTTTTCAATAATAAAAAAAAAAAAACAATTTTTGTGTAGGGGAAACGCTCCTATAGTTACGGTACGTTAGAAGCGTTAGGTTCCTATAGTTGTGTATGAAGTCTCCATACACAACTATAGGAACCTAACGCTTCTAACGTACCGCAACTATAGGAGCGTTTACCCTAGCCGTCCTCCACCCTATGATAACAATGTAAAAACCTTATTCTAATTCAGCTTAACAATGGATGGCTTGGAATGCCTGAAGGAAATCGATCAGCTGCTGGTACGTCGCAAAGCGGAGCCCTTAGAGTCGGAAGATGGTCCCGTTCTTGCCAACCGATACGTTATCGAAAACAATTCCGATGAAATAATGTATCGGGCAACGGAAGAGCCCAATGTTTGCGTTCGACTTTGTTTTGGCCATGGCCATGCGCACAACAGACCGTTTCAATTGACGCTGCTCGACAGACAGCGACGCAAGACGTTGATTTTTATGCATCCTTTGCTGTATAAATCATGGCGATTGCTACTCAGCCTCCAAAGAATGGATGTTCTAGATCCAGATGGTGGTGACCTTGTCGGAAGAGTCCAGCAAGGATGGTTCTTTGGAAAACCCTGGTTCAAGGTGATGACTGGTTCCGAAGAAGTGACGATGCGAATCGAAGGACCCTGGTTGCTGTTGGACATTTTCAAAGACGTCAAGTTCAAGGTTGAATGGGATATTTGAAGTTTTTTCTAGTCGTTAAATTAATAGAGTTTGATTGTTTTTTATTCATACAGATTGTAACCGTAGACGGTGATGAGATTGGTGAAATTGTAAAGAAAAAGACCGGATGCGTATGCCAAAGTGCTGCCCACCATTTCGGAATAACCTTTCCCAAGGATTTAGATGTAACGATGAAGGCCACGTTGATTGGAGCTGTGATCTTGATTGTAAGTAGGTTTTGCAGTAGGTGCATAATTTTGATCATCCAGTTTGGTTTATACCCCAAAATATGGGCCTGTTTGATGAAGCGTAATGATTGATGAAGGTTTAGAGGTCGCGCAAATGCACAGTGGTTGAAAAGTCCATTTTGACGCTCTTATTCGTGAACGTTTAGTAGATGAAACGACTTACCAATTTGAGTTATCCACACTTAATGCGTGGATACGAAAATAGTGTTGTTGAAAATAGTGAAGACCTAAAATTAAATTAAATATGTGTTTTGATGAAAAACGTGTTTTGGGGGGTCCGTCCCCAAACAACGCTCTCTATCTCGATTTGAGTGAAATTTGCGACTTTTATGTCTTCATCAAAGTTGTTTGTAATTATTTTTGCTACAACTTTGCTCAAGACGTGGTGGATTTTTCAGATATAATCCTAAATAGGACCTAGATTATTTAATACTCTAGTAACCTCAAGTCCGTGCTCTGTTACAATGTTTCATTGTGATTAATCAACACTCAAAGGGGTAAAATATCAAATTTGGGGTGAATTTGAAAGAAAGGGAACTTGGAGTGTAGAGCGCACTGCCCACTGGACGATTCTAAAGCCTGGCCAAGTGAGTGGGGTACGGGTTTATTTGATTGAACGTCATTTCCAATGTATATATTGATACATTCAAACCATTGGCATTTGAGATAAGACAGAGATAGGATGCGGAGGGCCCGCTTAGGAGGAGCGTAACCCATGTTATGGTTTCCATTTATTAAACAGTTCAGATAGGCTGGAAATGACAGGTTCATAGTGAGAAAATGTACCATATGGGGCCCGTTCACTAATCAAAATCAGATTCACATCGTCAGACCCTGCCCAAGAATAAGGGGATTGACGATGTCTTGTCAAGTTTTATTTTGAATTTGCGTTTTGCATTTAATACTCTAGTAAATCTCGCGTCCGTGCTCATTCACAACAGTGTGAGGTGTCAATACTCACTGGGTCATATGTCTTAGATCAGTTCCAGATTAGTTTGCTATTAATATCTTCTGCATCGCAGTTCGCGATAGATTACTAAATATGGGTTCTCTTTTCCGACCATAATAGTTTGAGGGAAGGGGGTTAGTTAAACGTTGCGATATGAGAGCGAATAGAGGCAAATAAATAGGGAAGACAACACCATGACCCAAATAAGTAACCAATGCATGCGGCTCTATTTCTTTCTTTCTTCCTATAATGTACTAATATTAACTACCTGAGGACAAATGGGAACACGACCAGAAGTTCAATAGGAGAAAATTCGAACAAGAAAAGAAGAATTAAACTTGCACCGGCAAGAGGAGCCAGACAGAAAGGATCATGCCGGTTGGAGACAGCCAATGTATACTGGACGAAGCTTGTATCTAGGAAAAGTCGTATGTGCAGGAAACCGTAAGTAGGATAAGAATCGTAAAAGGTGTGTGCTTGCTTGATAAGATCCTAACTTAACTTTAAATACACGGTAGGAATCGAATTCCATTTATGATTAAGGTTTTGCCCATTTTTCAGTGGGAGTGGCAATACTCATTGATGAGTGATTTATCGTACCCATTTATTAGTAACTGTTAGCAGCTAATGATTAATTGATTTACCTATTTTAGAATTACCTATACTTCACATCAGAACCTAATTTCCTTCAATTACTACTCCGTCGCAGCACACACCTTATATGGATCGCTAACCTTTATTTAGTTTCAGCATTTTCGACATTATAATCAAAAGGTGAGTTTTAAAAGTATAATTACCATGCATATAGATAAGTTAATGTACCAGAACCTGGACGGACACGAGCCTACCCAGGGGAGGACCCGGATACGACCACCCATGTGTGTCTAGAGTATCGCACGAGCTGACGAGTGCAACGGGAAGGACAGTAGGTATATAGACTAGGGGGTTGGTCCCTAGATAAGCCTTCTTAGCGGAAGGCACAGCCTATGCACTGAACAATTACAATTACAATTACAACTTTGCTCAAGACGTCAACCATTTATCTCAACATTGTGAAAAAATAAATTTTTCATTTCACTTTTAGGGGGATTAATCACAAAACCCATTCCTTCAAAACATGAAACATGTCATACTCATCAACTTTGCTCAAGACGTCATTACTCTAAATTCACTCTCCATGGTGCTATTGGTGCTATTAATTAAGAGCGTCAAGATGGTCTTTTCAACCACTGTGAAGCGGTTTAAAGTGTATATGGAGATTATGGGTAGTTCTTATGGGAGATTTTTAATTCACTCTATCTTTAGTTCAACTTGTCAGAATGCTGTCAATATTTAATATGTGGTTGCCATCAACAAGTCTGTCGTTGTTGTGTTGAAATGGGTGCTGTTGCCAGGCTCAATTTTTCCAAATTGGTCATTTGTTCACATTTATATTTTTCTTGAATTGATACCAAACTGACCGTAACAAAAATAGGCTGGTCAGACAGACTTGCTTCCACTCACTTGCTATAAAAAAAAATGATTTTCGGAATTTTGTAATCATTACATGTTTCAATGATATTGTGTACTTGTTAGATACCACTAGAGGTTGAGAGACAAGTGTTTTATAGACACAACCTATCAAATTTGCGTTCAGATAGCCACAATCAGCGATTTTACGACTCGCCAGCGCTCACTCTGAGTGAACGCTCACGAATCATAAAATCGCTGATTGAGACACTCTGAAAGCAAAATTTACAAGTTTTTTATGTCAAACACATACTTTATAACCTCTTATTTTAACTTACAAGTACAGCAGCCGAGCAAAAGCTGTAAATTTTTACATTGAATAATGATTATAAAAAAAAATGTCAACATTTACCAGCACTGATATGGTAACACATGGCTGAAATATATCGTCTTCTTTGCTATTAACGCACATAACGCAAATGATAGAGATGAACCAGTTACTGAAAGTCTCCCTAATAAAGAAACCCAACCAATACAACGCAGATCCACGCCCAATGCATACGGGTTATATACGATGCGAAAAATGACAGTTGAAAAAATGGATTTAGCTGTCCTTTATCCGCAACGTTTCTAATCCGGATATATGATATCGGTATGACTAAAGTTTACTTAATCTGTTTCAGGACTTCGTGCTGTTCCATAATACAAAGCGAGTAGATTTGACATCCTTGTTATTATTGTAATAGTCCTAATCTTCACGGTGAGGCCCCACTTTTAACTCGATTTATTGAGGAAGATATTTATTTTTTTCGGTTGGAAATCCAACATCTTTAAGAGGCTATTCATAAGTAACGTAGCCAGTTCAGTAGAGATTGTGCATAGTAGTAAGATGCGTGTGTAGTCATCAAATGTTTAATGAAATCTCAATTTTAACTCGAAAAGGGTTAATGTAAATACTAAGACACCTTAGAACACCAAGTAAAGGAAACTTAGGTAGTATATTGGATAAGGGATAACATGGTAAGGAATCAAGGAATATTTGCTTTACTAATCTTGAACAATCGTAAAGTTTAGATTCGCCAAGGAATTTTCTAGAATCTCGAATCAAAGCGTTAAATGATAGACTCATGGGGAGCTAAGGACTCATCTTCTCTCTATCTTATATAATCTTAATCATTCTCTGTTCACACTCAGTTTACATTTCGTTGCCAAACTATTTTTAAACTACGTTATGATTTAGAAAAAAAAAACTATCAGATATTCAAAAATAAGAAACTATATTCCACTATTTTACAGACCATATTATGTTACATACACATTAGACTGATGCAAAGTTTGACATTTTCGCTCCACAGTGCTCAAGCGGTTCCAAAACGGGTCTAGATTAGCCTCCCAAGGTTTGAACTGATTTGGTAATAAACTGACTTGGCACAAACCATTTGAATTACTATGGGAAAACCAAACTTTGTCTTCGCAGTTTTCTATTCTTCTTCCATACTGCACCGTTAAAAATTTCTAAAGTTATTCTTATGGCTCAGCTACAACTTTGCGGAATATTGTTTTTCAGCCAAACATCAAATTAAACAGTTATTAATTGTTTAAGAGACTGATAATCATATGGCATAGACAACACTGTATTCTGGAGTGTGACATAGTAGCCATGATGTGTTAGCTCTATTCTACGCGCCAGAAACACCAATGTTGCCTGCTGAGCAGTTGATTGAGCATAATCATAAGACAGTGACTAGAATCATTAATAACTTTTGATCATAACATTTTATCGAAAAATGGTCTTCAACAAATTTGTAGCTGTGAAAATTTACTACAAGTACAGTTATTAATTTTTAGAGCAAAGTAATAGGGTGAATTATTAGATAGATATGAACACTAAATTTGGTTTTCCCATAGTAATGTCCATATAAACTTCAAATGGTTTGTGCCAAGTCAGTTTCTTACTAAATGAGTTCAAATTTTGGAAGGCGAATAAGGAACCAAATAGGAACCGTTTGAACACGGTGGAGCGAAAGTTTCAAATCATCAGTCTAATACACATACACCTAAAGGTTGAACGAGAAAAAATCCGGACACATTAAAAACGCTGCCATTGAGGCATTTTTTAAGTATTTTTTTTTTCAAAATTTCACCGAATCAAACTAAGTATGAATAAAATCACAGTAGGCATTGGTTGTCAGGATAATTTCCTTTGTTTACATCATGGAGCAAGCACGTTGCGACTCGATCCTGCACGCTCGAAACGAAAATCCCGGTCTATCCGCTCCTGGCAGTTTTCGATCAAATTCCTAGGCAGGAATTTTATACCTCGGTTAACCGAAAGAGTGCCCGGAATAATGTAAAATCAAAAAGAAGTCGAATTTCCCCAAAAAGTTACCTTTCTGGCAAGCAATCGGCAGTTGTGAGCTGAAAAGCGAAACTTTCGTTTACTTCTGGGACCATGAACCAGCAAATTTACCAGAAGGAGTGCCTACGGAAGAGACTACTGCCTTTTCTGGAGCAGCATGAGGTGGATTGCCTATTCGGGCCGGACTAGGCAAGCTGCCACTACTCGAATTCCATCAAACAGTGGTACAGCGAAAATGGATTCACAGTGATTCTCAAGGAGATGAATCTGGCCAATACTCCGGAAATAAGGTCAATTGAGGAATACTGTTCAATTGTGAAGCACATACTGAAGAAAAATGGTAGAACTGCAATTGAGCTGAGGGATTTCAAGTGGGAGCAGGGCTCTTGCAAAAGATGATGGGTCGTGTACGAATAAAAGTTCGAGCAATGGTAAGAAGGAAGACTTAAACAATGGTCTTACAATAAGCTTAATACATACTAATGTATAGCTGTTACATTGAACTATGAAAAATAAAACGCATTTTTAAACCCCAACAAGATTTTCGTGTCCGGATTTTTTCGTGGACAACCTTTAATTGATGATAGAAAATAAAATAAATTCATCTCCATAACTCCATAACATCTCATTGAAGGGACCGTCGAGCTACATAATTTGTTACTTGTATAATCAAATAAAATTCTTGATCATTCATAACTTTAAGAGGAATCCCGATTTATTTCATCTACTGGCTTTGGATAACCAACACACCCAGTTAACCCTCCGTTACTCGCGCCAAATTTTGTAACACGAGTACTCGCGCGTTGCACTTTGTACAACAGTGTGAGTTTTCGATTGCCATTTTGCAGCCGAGCTACCAATCGATATGAAACCAACGGGTATTCATTAAAAAACTTGTTTTTAACTAAACAAGTTAAACTTTTATCACAGTTAACCCCCAAAACATGCGGATAATAGAGAAAATGTGAATGGAAACCGCGTAAACGGTGTCCGTACTACGGGGGATTTGACTTAATTGGTTACAACCTGGAAAATCTCGAGAAGTTACTGTCTTCCGCAAAGTTGTTCTAGAGATCATAATCTTTTCGCTGGTGGAGAGTAGTTCAGAATTTTCTCACTACGTAGCGCTAAAATACATGTAAAATGATCGCATATGATATATCCCGAGATCATGACCAGATAGAAAGTTACTGTTGTCGCCAAAGTTGTTCAGAAGGTCAAGGCCTTTTCGTTGGTGGACAGTAGTTCAGAGTTTTCTCATGTGCAATTTTCGCATATACAATAGCTCGAGATCCTGAGCAGATAGAAGTTACTGTCTTCGGCAAACTTGTTCAGGGTGTCAAGTATTTTTGACTGATGGACAGTAGTTTAGAATTTTCTCACTATACGGTGCTAGTAAAAACGTGTAATTCTCACATAAAATATCTCGAGATCTTGACCAGATAGAAAGTTACTGTCTTCGACAAAGTTGTTCAGGAGGTCAAAACCTTTTTTGGCTGGTAAACATTAGTTAAGAATTTCCTCACCACGTGGCGCTAATATACATGTTAAGTTCTCGCATGTGGTACATCAGTAGATCCTGACCAGATAAAGAGTAAATGTCTTTGGCAAAGGTTTTCAGGAAGTCAAGATCTTTTCGTTGGTGGAAAGTTGTTCAGAATTTTCTCCCTACTCGGTGCTAGCAACAATCAATACGAAACTAACGATTTTAAATTGGCTCACCACTTTAGTAGCCTATTGGTCCCAAGCAAACGATTAACGTACCCTATTCTAGTTTAAATTCTATTACTACACTATGTTTGTTTTGATTCGTTATGAAAGTTTGACAGATAACATCAGGGGTGTGTGGATTCATGCAGAACATGCAGGGGTGAGTGAAATAGCTTGGGGCTGCTTGGGACCGTTGTTCTGGTACTGAGTGAGCCAAAAATAATAATGATTTTCTTCGGGACCCAGTGGTCTTAGAGTTACCTCTATGGTGCTAGTATACACATGCAATTCTTGCATATACAATAGCTCGAGATCCTGAGCAAATAGGAAGTTACTGTTTTCGGCTAAATTATTCAGGGGTCAAGACTTTTTGGCTGGTGGACAGTAGCCTAGAAACTTTTTACCACATGGCGCTAGTTAACGTGTACAATTGCTTGGTGCACAATAGTTCAGAATTTTTACACTACATGGCGTTATTATACAAGTAAAATTCTCGCATGTAAAATATCTCGAGATTCTGATCAGATAGATTTCGCTACTGGACAGTAGTTCAAAATTTGCTCACTACGTAGCGTTAGAAAACACGTAAAATTCTCGCATGTGGTTTATTTCGAGATCCTGACCAGATAGAACGTTACTGTCTTCGGCAAAGTTGTTCAGGAGGTCAAAACCTTTTTGGCTGGTAAACATTAGTTAAGAATTTCCTCACGACGTGGCGTTAGTATAGATGTACACTTCTCGCATATGCTATATCTCGTGAGATATTTTATATGCGAGAATTTCACATGTATACTAGCATCATGAAGTGAGAAAATTCCAAACTACTGTCCACCAGCCAAAAGACCTTTACCTCCTGAACAACTTTGTCGCAGACAGTAACTTTCTATCTGATCAGAATCTCGAGATATAGCATATGCGTGAAGTGTACATGTATACTAACGCCACGTGGTGAAAAAATATTAACTAATGTTTACCAGCCAAAAAATCTTGCCCCCTAAACAACTTTGCCGAAGACAGCAACTTTCTGGTTTATCACGATCTCGAGTTATTGAATATGCGAGAAAGGCATGTATATACTAGCACCGCATAGTGAGAAAATTCACCCAAAAGATCTTGACTTTTTGAAAAACTTTGCCGAATACATTTTCTTTCTATATGGTCAGGAGCTAGAGATATTTTATATGCAAGAGTTTCACATCTATAGTAGCGCCGCAAAGTGAGAAAACTCTGAACTACTGTCCACCTGCGAAAAAGCCTTGACCTCCTGAACAACTATGCCGAAGACAGTACCTTTTTATCTGGTTGGGAACTCGAGATATTTTATATGAGAATTTCAAGTGTCTACTAGCGTCGCGTAGTGAGCAAATTCTGAACTATTAAGCACCAAGGAATAGGCTTTGACCTCCTGAAAAACTTTGTGAAAGACAGTAACTTTTTATCTGGTCAGGATCTCAAAATATATCACATGGATAGTAGCACTACGTAGTGAGAAAATTCTGAACTACTGTCCGCCAGCGACAAGGCTAGGATCTCCTGAACAACTTTGTCAGAGACAGTAACGTTCTATCTGGTCAGGATCTCGATATATTCCATGTTGTAATCAATTAAGTAAAATCCCACGTAGGATGGTCACAGTTTTCACGGTTTCCATTTACATTTTCCCTATTATCTGCATTTTTTAGTTGTTTACTGTAATCAAAGTTTAGTTTGTTTAGATCAGAACAAGTTTTTTGAGGAATACTCGTTGGTTTCAGATCGATTGGTAACTCAGCAGCAAAATGGCAATGGAAAACTCATGTGTGTTGTACAAAGTACAACAGCGTGAGTAACGGAGGTATAAGGAATGGATAGGAATATGTTGACGTGAAAAACCGTGTTGTTCGAAGCCGAGAAATCCTCTACTTTTCCACGAGAAATCAATGAGATGTTGGGTTGGGTTCGTTTTAGTAGACGATACGCTGTATTGAGGGTACTTGCTCATGTTAAGTTAAATTTCTGGATTTGTCTCAACGGAAGCTGAAAAAAATCATCATAATAATATAAAGCTGAAAACTAATTTAAACAAATCAAATCAATAGATCCAACCAGGGCGAAAGTTGAATAGATTGAATCATTACTATATAAATCAATAGATGTTTTATCATCAAAGAGCTGAAAAGCAAAGAGAATCATTATAAATAATGTTAATTTAATAGTGTTCCATAATCGAAGGTTTGAAAATACATTTTCATACAACCAACAAACCGGGTCAACAGAAGGTTAAAAAGTTATTTTAAACCTCGATCAATATTTTTTTTTTTAATTGTGTGCTAAAACTTCATCTTAAGTTACAATTTTTCAATAACTCATACCTAATGATCGTGATTGATTTTCATAGAAATGGTGCAGCCAAATTTTGAAATAAAAGGGGTAGTAGTACCCCTATTCTATACCCATCCAGAAACTTTAGTGAAAACCTGGTGGAAAAATTTAGAAAATATTGTACACATACCACATATCTAAAATTGGACGGGAAATGGCAGAATATGAACAAAAATAATTTAGTTTTGTTCTAAGAGTGACCCCAAACTTTTGAGCGATACATCCATTTTTGATCTTCTAGAGGACGGTCTCATGGCCATCAGGGGCCATGTTTATGTCACGACCCCAAATTCATTATATCATCACAGTTCCTAGAGTTTTTCAAAAAACCGCGGAGCTCTAGGATCAGTTTCATATATTTACCACTTTTACGGATGTTCCGGATCTTCCTGAGGATGGTCCCATGGCCATCCAGATCCATGTTTATGTCATAACCCAAAGTCATTCTTATATCACAGTTCCTAATATTGAGAAAAACATAGGGCTCTAGGATCAGTTTCGTAGATTGACCACTTTTACGGATCTTCCAGATCTTCCGGAAAACCGTGCCGTTGTCTCTAGGATCCATATATAGGAACGATGACTATATTTTGGCTAATTATGAACATTTGTGTCCATCAATCAAAATTATAGATCTTAAGACTCCTTCAAAACCTTTAAAAAGTGTAACGACTCTTTTAACTTTTTATAAAAGTAAACGAACCTATTTTCAATCTTTTAACAATCAAAATAATCTCCGGACCCTAGGAATTCTAGAGGTACCACAAATTTAACCGGAAATTACTAAGCTTTGGCATTGCAAACATGCCGTTACACGTTTTTCGGAGGCAGCGTGTTCGGACTTTTAAGGAGAATGCCTGTTTTGTATTGTAACAGTGAAACCATTTCAAGATATCTTTTATAATCCACTTTATTCTAAATGCTTATGTTCATAATTGAATTCAGCACACCTTTTTCCACCTTTACTGCTCAACCCAACAACGACTGAACCCACTCGACATGTGCTCTCACCTCCTGCAGAGCACCCGCATGTCCAAATTCGCACGCAAACTTCTGTCCGAAGCTGGTCAGCCCCAGCAAGGTGTACTGTTTGTATCCCTCCTGCTTGAATACCAACGGACTTCCGACATCGCTGACACAGTTGGGTTCTTCCTCATCCCGCTGAGCGCAGAATCGTCCCGTTTCCGGTGTGACAAATTCAAACTCCTTCTGGCACTGCTCGTAGCTCAGCACTCTCAGGGTCGTGAATTCCAAATAATCAGCAGCATTCGTGGTCTGGTAGTTCAACAGTCCGTATCCACTGGTGTACACTTCGTCATGGACATATTGCTCTTCCACCTCCGGCAAAGCTACCGGTTTGATCCACGGAGGCAAACGGACATCTTCATCGGAAAACTTAATCACCGCCACGTCATTCTCGAATGTCTCACTGTCGTAGCCGTCCTTCACAAAGCACTCCAAGGCAGTGAAAGTGTAGCGGAACTTGTTATCACCCGAGTCTGGCAGCAGGCACTGGGCTCCGAGTGTTAATTCCACCTTGCTGGAGCCTTCCACACACTGAGCGACGGTGAGGACGTGCTTACGGCTGACCAGGGCACCGCTGCAGTAGCGCTTTCCCTCGGAGTAGGTAGACACGACCAGCACGTGATGCGGGAACTGACCATTGCGAGTCTGCTCACCGTTGGCCGTTACGTTCGTATTACCGGTGGACTTGCATGTGTAGCAACTAACCGAGGCAGCAAGGCCCAGGACTAGCAAAGCTGAGAAGAACTGCATTTTGATTGGTACTTCGGAATCGGAAGGTTAACTGAAGCGCTATCATTTGAACAACTGTTTTTATACTTGAGCGATGTAGTTGAGATGGTACTTGAGAAGGCACTTTGAGAAAAGCAAACTACTTCAAGAAAGTAATCCCTCAATAGCAGTTACTAACCAGAAGAATCAATAGTTTGAGTATTTGATCAAATCGATTACGAGACTTGGAAGAGGCGTTTTAATTGATGAAGTGCATATTATCACATTCTTATTGCATTTCAAGCTTGCAAATGCTCGTTTTAGCTAAAATACTATTTTTCGGAATTATTTCACTTTAATAGTTACCTAGTAATAATTTACTTTTGCAAATGCAACAAGAGGATGTGAACATTGCGTAAGACACATATAACCTGTCAATTTTAAAAATTAACGATTTGCTATAACGATGAGCGCTCGCGATGAGTGATAGAACAGTACTTTAGTTGAAACCAACATTTGTTAGCTTGATTAGATTTAAATAACATATAGAGGAGGTTCCTAAATCCTAATAAACAAATGCTTTTGATGATACCTCGAACACGTCGATAAACTCGATAAACTCATGTTTATGGTTATTTTTTTATTAGCGTTACAAAGCCATAAATCAAGAGGAAAAGGCCTGCCATATGATTTCAAATCTCGGATCTCAAGGACCATCAACTGACGATGGAGGACATCACGATTTTACGACCCGTATCCACACCATGGAAATTGGATATTGCAGAAAGGCTCGATATCGACAAATTTTACTCAACAGGAATCAACTAACAGGAAACGGACACACATGGCTTTTTGAGTTACTACCTAGGACCACAGAGAACAGACGTTCAAGCTCGGTCAGAAAGTTGTGTAAAATAAGTGGGAACGTCGCCGTTACGTGGTGTTAGCATCTCCTGATTTTCTCTATAAATTTTTCACTTTCGACCAATTTGGCGCTAGTATCGATAAATTTTCTGTTGAAAATTGTCACTTGGCGCTACTTGCACTTAGTGTCTAGTGTAATTTGTGCAACGCCGGCGCCATCATGTTGTCAAAGAGGGTTTTTAAGTGGGGAAGTCGCCGTTAGTGGCGCTTAAGTCGAATAGAAATCTTTACACAAGTTTTTAGAGAAATTTTGTTCGAGCCTCCATGTCTGTTCTCTGTGCTTAACTGTTAAAATTTGATGACAACACAAAAACTGCAGATACGCTCAGAGTGAAGCGTCGTATGTGAAAAACAAAGCAACCACTATCAACACAGAGAACAGACATGGAGGCGATACGAAGACAACGATACTGTATACGTTCCAGTTTGATGATGTGAGTTTTAGCCGCCGATTGGAAGCAAAAACTACCGTACTCTAAAACCGATAAAATCGTTGTCCGGTACAACGTTAGAAGATCTTGCGGATGAGCTCCCCACCACGTTCCGGTAATTGTTCGGAGAAAATTGATCCTTTGTTGGCATTTTCGTCTCAGATACTCAATGTGGGATCTCCAGGTGCATTTGGAATCGAACCAGACCCCAAGGTATTTGAAAGACATGGAATGAGTGATCGGCTTACCCAAAAGTTCTAAAAACTTGTGTAAAGATTCCTATTCGACTTAAGCGCCACTAACGGCGACTTCCCCACTTAAAAACCCTCTTTGACAACATGATGGCGCTGGCGTTGCACAAATTACACTAGACACTAAGTGCTAGTAGCGCCAAGTGACAATTTTCAACAGAAAATTTATCGATACTAGCGCCAAATTGGTCGAAAGTGGAAAATTTATAGAGAAAATCAGGAGATGCTAACACCACGTAACTGCGACGTTCCCACTTATTTTACACAAGTTTCTGACCGAGCTTGAACGTCTGTTCTCTATGCTTTAATATTGAACTTCACATACCAATCTGACCAGCGCTTCCTTAATACGAAAAACACAAAACGTATAACATCTGACAGCAGATAATGCGGTGCCCCTCTCATCTCCGCTTTTAACATCGATTATTTCACAACTCTGGGTAGTTATGTAAATAAACCAAGCAACCGAAAATTCCTCAATGCTTTTCGAGCTGCCGACGTATCTTCACTGCGAAACAAAAACCGGTGTATCTGATTTGACGTATGTGAAAACCCTTCTGTCAAATAGACGAATCATGCAGGGTGTATGTTACAATCAAGGTGTGATACCGACGAATCAATCCGGGTGTATGTGAGTAGTACCGAAGACATCATATCATATCTGCCAGAATCCAAGCGACAGATACAATAGCGCTGCGCTTGAGTGAAGGTGGAAGCAACGCATAGAAAAATGAGCAAATACACAAACCCTTCTTCTGAGGATGTAATCTTTGCTATCAAATTCGTTCGAAGCATTTACCTTTGAGCGGCAGATGACGCGATTGTACCTGTCTCATAGCGTTCGTATGAGAAAATTGAAGAGTTGCCAGTCTTCTTGATTTGTTGTCTTCGGTAGTGTCACAAGTACACAAGTAAAAGGTGTATAATTTTGTTTTATCAAAAGTCTTGTCCGTGTTTGCAAAACTCGACATTTTTCACAATTTTTTTAAACGCTATCCCTTTATCCAACTAATAGCACAAACAGATTTAAAAAAATAGCATTAACTTTTAAATAGCATTTAATAATCTCATATAGACATTGCTATCCAATGTTTCTAATTTCCTATCCAATGTTACATACGTTTTTTTGAAAAGTTATGCTTGATTTACAAGGCATGTGATTATTACCTATTATAACATGGACGCATAGTGGTATAAGAGCTATTATCACCGACGAACCGACATCACAGAGAACAGACGTTCAAGCTCGGTCAGAAACTTGTGTAAAATAAGTGGGAACGTCGCCGTTACGTGGTGTTAGCATCTCCTGATTTTCTCTATGAATTTTCCACTTTCGACCAATTTGGCGCTAGTATCGATAAATTTTCTGTTGAAAATTGTCACTTGGCGCTACTAGCACTTAGTGTCTAGTGTAATTTGTGCAACGCCAGCGCCATCATGTTGTCAAAGAGGGTTTTTAAGTGGAGAAGTCGCCGTTAGTGGCGCTTAAGTCGAATAGAAATCTTTACACAAGTTTTTAGAGAAATTTTGTTCGAGCCTCCATGTCTGTTCTCTGTGCTAACACCAATAACCCCCTTGGCCCAGAGACCTTATATAAACGTCATTGGAATAAATGTACATCTATCGATCTCAATGAGCTTTTTTCAGCACATAATTCGACAACTCGTTTTATTCAGCATTGTACACTGTAATACAGCATTTATTCAATATAATATGCTTATTTCTCGATGAACATTTCAAATGGTCCTATCTGCTTTGATCGATTCTCTTCATCGACTTTCTCTTTCGTCAATAACTCAGCTGCAAAACCTTCCCCTCTTGTATTTGACGTTTTGGACGCTAGAAAAGAACCTCCTTTATCAAACTAGATGGTAGAATTAGCGCGAAATCGGTTTGCATAGCAGTGGTTATGAAAAGAGAAAGTCGATGAAGAGAATCGATCAAAGCAGATAGGACCATTTGAAATGTTCATCGAGATTTGTGACTATGAATTGGGTTGTTTAGGGGTATTGACGTAAATATATATTCGTTATCTGCATTAAAAATAGATCCGAAATCCAAAATTTCATCAATTTTGGTACACTGGAACTATTTTAAATCATTCCTCGTCGAACGTTCGACAGAGCAAGTTTGCTTACGCTACTCTCCCGCCGCCGCAAAAGTGTTTTTCGGAAAAAAGTGGATTTTTTTCTCTCCCCGATCGGAGTTTTTTTTTACACCTTCAGGTGTGCAGTGCCACAGGCGGACATAAACGTTCCCCGGAGGAAGCAACCATCTCAGCCGAGTCTGAAGATTGGATTGTCCAACGGTAAAACTATCAACCACCACCTAGACATCGCATCATACGGCATCAAAAGGTCATCACCCGTATACACCGTACAACGAAGCAGCAGAACTGCAGATACGGTCTATACAGACCGGACGGTGCCCTTTGTGCTAAGCCACGTGCTGCAACAATAGAGCGATCATCTCTGCTTCATCGCACAGTTGAGTTTGTAAACGCGCCATCCCGGCATATAGAGATAAGTTAATTTTTTTTCTCAGCCTAATTCTTTTTTTTTTTTTTTTTTTTTTTTTTGTAAATATTTTTTTTTTTTGGTTTTTGATTTGCTAATATTAAGTAATCCCCCTGCAGCGTTGAATTTCCTTTCTTACAAATTATTATTTTTATTATTATTCATTATCTTATTTAGTTTTTTTTTTGCACATATTTTATTTTATTTTTATTTTTTTAACACTGAGCAATTCACTCACAGTGTTGACTTCCTTTTCTTGTTGTTTCCTTTCCAATTTCAATCCATATATTTGAAATTTGTGGAAAATATAAACATTTAATAACTAAGATTGCAACCAATTCCGTTGCGGTGGTATCTTAAGTCACCGCAATGGATGATACAAATAAAGGCGGGGGTCTGTCGCTTGACATCTCTGATGATGAGTCAATAAAGTCTCCCCATTTGAAAAGCTTGATAGCTCTGAGGAAATGGATACCCTCGAAGAGCACCTCGATCAAACCACCAGCAAGAACACTGGAGCCTATCCAAAAGTGAAATCTCTACCACAGCCCCCTTCTCCTCCATCGCCGCCTTGTCCACCATCGCCGCCTTGTCCTTATGTGCCCCCTACTCCACTCCTTCCCCCGAAAATATCAGCGACCCCCCGCCACAAGGCTTACCCTGATGACTCGAAAGGTCCGTGGGTTGTTTTCTTCCGGCCCAAACAAAAACCTTTAAATATTTCTCGGATTTCGAAGGATCTGACAAAACATTTTTCGGCCGTAACCGATATCTTTAAGGTGACGCCAAACAAACTGCGCGTGAGCTTTTTTCGATCGAATATCGAGTCTACGTCCCCAGTTGTGACGTAGAAATTGAAGGAGTGGTCACCGATTCGAGTCTGACTTGTGAGGATTTCCTGCAAGTCGAATCTTTCGGCA